GGGGCACCTGGGTGCCTCAGTTGGTTAAGCGTCTGCCTTCGGCTCAGGTCATGATCCCGGAGTTCTGGGATCGAGCCCTGCACTGGGTTCCCTGCTTGGCCAGAAGCCTGCTTCTCCCTCTTCCACTCCCCCTGCTTGTGTTCCCTCTCTCGCTGTCTCTCTCTGTCAAATAAATTTTTTTTTAATCTAAAAAAATTTTAAAAAATAAATTAAAAAAGAATATGATAATCTCTGCTCTTCCGCTGCTATAAAAACCAAGTAAGAAAAGGTACCAGAAAAAGCCAACTGCCCTCTGCTGTTGGAATGCCCAGGATTACTATGAGTTTCCACATCAGTAAAATGGAACTGGTAACAGTTCCTACCTCATCAAATTGTTGTGAGAATTAAATCACATAATAGTGATAAAACAGTTCCTGGCATTTTTCAAAAACTGGAAAAGATGAGGCTATTACATAATTGCTACTACAACTATTGCTTCTGTTAATGACCCTATTATCTCCATTAGTATTGTATCTTGCTACCTGGCTAAGAGACTCATGGGAAAGTGGAAAAGTTTTAGAGTATCAGTCATTTTTTTTTAAGATTTTACTTATTTATTTGAGAGAGAGAAAAAGCAAAAGAGAGAGAGCATGAGCAGGGGGAGGGGCAGAGGAAGAAGAAGACTCCCCGCTGAGCAGGGGTGGGGGACAGGAGAGGGAGAGAGAATCCCAAGCAGACCACACTGAGTGCAGAGCCTGATGTGGGGCTCAGTCTCACCACCCTAAGATCATGACCTGAGCTGAAACCAAGAGTCAGACACTCAACTGACTGCGCCACCCAGGCACCCCACTTTAAGGATATTCTTTTTTTTTTTTAAAGATTTTATTTATTTATTTGATGACGAGAGAGAGAGAGAGAGAAGAGAGAGAGGGAGAGGGAGAGAGAGAGAAAGCACAAGCAGGGGGAGTGGCAGGCAGAGGGAGAAGCAGGCTTCCGGCTGAGCACAGCGCTCGACATGGGGCTCAATCCCAGGACTCTGGGATCATGACCTGAGCCAAAAACAGATGCTTAGCCAACTGTGCCATCCAGGCACCCCTAGAGTACAAGTCTTCTTAAAGAGGATATCAGCATCACCAAATCTAGAATTAGGGGAACCAGCAGTAGATTCCTTTTATGTTTTTCCCCTAAACACCAAAATTGAACACAAGTGCAAAAATCAAAACCAAAATGCATCAGCATTAGCTCGAGTTTTCCTGCTTTAAGAAATGTACTCCTGGGGGTGCCTGGCTGGCTGGCTCCATTGGTAAAGCATAAGGCTCTTGATCTCAGGGTCATGAGTTCAAGCCCATGTTGGGTGTAGAGATTACTAAAAAAAAAAAAAAAAGAAAAATCACTCTGGGTTTTCTTATGTACAGCAGGGTTAAAGAACCCTGAAGAAAAGAAAGAAAGAGAGAAAGAGAGAAAAAGAAAGAAAAAGAAAAAAGAAGAAAGAAAAAGAAAGAAAGAAAGAAAGAAAAGAAAAGAAAGAAAAAGAAAGAAAGAAAGAAAAAAGAAAAGAAAGAAAGAAAGAGAAATGTAGGTACTCTGGAGAGTATCAAACATCTGCTAAATATCAGGAGCAACTGATGCATCTTGAAAACCTCACACAACCTTCCAGAACAAGGATCCATTGGGGAAAATAAAACCAGCTATGCCAATGCTTTGTCCCTCTAATTGGAGGCATATTAGAGGAGGATCCAAAAAAAAAAAAAAATAGAACATTCAGAAATGACCAGAGCAAATCTAAGAAAGCTGACTAAAACAAAGCATTTTTTATGTGAGGAAAAGGAGAACAATTATTCCCAAACCCTTCAGTCTCTCAAGAAGTTGCCTCAGGAGACAGGAAATACAGTCGGCTGCCACAGTGTCCCAGCCTCCCTGTATGGCTGGCCTTTGAAGGTAGGGGATCAGTCCCATACTGCTTTCCCCTAGGCCTGGGAGGACCCTCGGGGTGGGGAGCCAGAGCTTGCTATAGGATAATCACTAGGAACTTCACAGAGTCACCACAGAAGAGTCAGCAAAAGAGAGAAGGGCGGGAGGCTGTAGCAATGGCTGACAGAGTCCTACCCAGCCCTCAAGTCCCCCAACTCAAGACTTAGCCTAGTACTTCACAGTAAAGACAGATACTATCAGACAGGAATACCCATGTCTCCCCTCACTGAACCTATCAGCCCCCTAGCATGGGCCTGACATGGGCAGCCCTCCCTCCTGTCAAATGGATGAAAGGCCCTGTTCCCAGCTGGGACCCCTGAGACCTACACCCAGGATCCCCAGATCCCCACCCTCTCACCTTGTCAGAAACACTGCTCCAGGAACAGTCCCAACTCTTTCCTGCATCATCCATTTCTCCCTCTCTATTGGATCATTCCTGGCAGAACAAAACATGCTCTACCCTCTCCCACTAAAAAAACAGACACCCGCACCCCCACCTCAAACCCAAAACCTCCCCAATTCTCAGCTAACGTCTCAAACCTGCTTCATAACAAAACTGCCTGAAAGATTCACCTATGCTTATTGACCCCATTCTGCACCCCATATTTTCCCCTCTACCTACTCCAGTCAGGTTCTGTCCTTTAAGCTTCTGTGAACCCCTCATTCTACTGGGTTTCCTCCTACCTTCTCAGTCTCCTTTGCTGGATCCACCTCTTTTCCCAACCTCTAAATGCTATGTCCCAAGGCTTAGGTCATTTTTCTGTCTATGCTCTCTTCCAAGGTGAGTTCAACTAATCCTGTGGCCTTGAACATCACCTACAATACCCAAATACACCTCTGCAGTCCTCTCTCTCTCCTGAGCTTCAGGATCCATCCATCTGTCTAGTGGACATACTCATATCTCAAATGTCAGAACAAGAACTCATGCCCCACCCCCCACACCCCCCCAAACCTGCTCCTCCCAGCCCTCCCATCTGAGTGACAGGAGTACCATCCACTCAGGAGCTCATCTTTGGGAGTCATCTTTGACTCCTCTTTCTCTCACAGACTATGTCCAGATCATCAAGCCTGAATCTGACTGTTTCCGATGAAAGCATCTCCAGTGCTACCCCCTCAGTCAAGTCATCAGCAACAGCCTGCTACTACTATCCTACCCACTACAGTTGCCACCTGCATACAGCCCACTCTACAGCAGGGAGAATGATCTTTCTAAAAATGCACATCAAATCACATTGCCCCCCACTTAAAGCCCTCCAGCAATTTCTCACTGGGCTTAGAAGCAAGTCTAAAAACCCCTTACCCTGGCTCGTAAAGTCCTACACCATTTGCTCTCTCCTATCTGTAACCTCTTCTCTTGTGACCTTCTCCCTTACTCAGCATATTCCAGCCACACTGGCCTCTCCACTCTGAACTTGAAGCTTTCTCTGCCTTCAAGCCCTTGCACTGGCTGGTGTCTTCTGGAAATGCTTTGCCATCTCATCAACACAAGGATGGCTCTCTCCTGACACTCAAATTTTACCTTAAATGTCACCTATTCAGAAACACCACCACAGACCTCTCAATCCAACACCACCACCCAGTTACTTGATATCACATTACATTATTTTAATTTTCTGCATAGTAGTTACCGCTGATACTATTCTTGGTTTTTAAACTTATTTTCTGCTCCCCTTCCCCACTAGACTGCAAGCTCCATGAGCACCCACACGTTGTCTGCCTCGTTCATTTCTGTGGTTCCAATGCTTAGAACAATGTGTGGCACACAAAGAGAAATCTAATAAATATCAATGAATGGAGTTATGGTCAGACAGGCCCACTGAATGAGAGGTTCTGAGGTCTTAGCCAGCTCCCCAACTTCTCTCTCAAACACAGACAGGAGGCAGGACCCCAGCCACAGTCCTAGTGTTCACTTGTATAAATCTCATCCACAAGAATTTCAAACATCAGGCAAGAGCCCAAACTAGGGAGGGAGGATCCAGGATTTTCTGTGACCACCGAGCTTCGACTAGGCTGCTCCACTACTGACTGGCAGTGTTTCCAGATGGTGAAGAAAGGAATTCTGACTCACATCCCCCAAAAGTAATAGTACTTGTCAGACCACCATCCAGACCTCGGAGAGTTCATTCATTCCGTAAACAAAGATTTGCCGAGCGTCTACTCTGTGCCAGGCACTGGGCAAAGGACCAAAAGCAGCTTCTGACCGCAGGGAGCTGACGGGCCGAGCACGCAGAGCGTTACCGAGAAACGCAGCACCACAGGTACCCGCGCGGAGCGGGAAAGTAACGGCCACACTAGTGCCCGCGGCTGGGCGGCGCCCTCGAGTACTGCCCCACGATTTCATCTCCACAGACCCAGGTCTGGGGTAACCTGGCTAGTGGCGCAACGCTCTCGGGCTTTTTCTGAACAACTACCGCTTGACTAGCGGAGGCAGGAGTGACTGTCCCCGTGGAGCACCGGCTTTCCCAGACGAGCAGTGTTCGAGGAATATTATTGGCTGATGGGTCCCTCCCCACCCCCACCGCTCCCCCACTGGCCGGCGCTCTAGAGGGCGAGGGGGGTGCGCCTCCGATTCTCCCCCACCACCCCAGAGAACCCGGTCGAAGCCAAAATCCTCCCCACAGGAGATTCCCTCCGTCTCTATTCCCCAGCCCCCAGTTCCCGGACCCCGGACGCAACTCCTAGCTCCATTCTCCCCATCCCGGTGGGGCACGGCCGGGCGCGGTGCGGCCCGGGACCCCGGCGGGGAGGAGTGTCCGGCCCCTCACACCGGCGCCCGAATCCCGCCCAACTGCAGGACCAGGGGGCAGTTTGCGGCCTCCGCCCCCTCTGCGGCCCGGACTGCGGCCCCCCGCGGAGATGCAGACCCCGCCGCCCCCTCTCCCGGAGCCCGCCACACAACTCCGGCACACAAAACCCCACAGGAGTGCGGCCGCGGCGCTCTGCGCGCCAACTCGCCCGGGACCCGCGCGGGAGGCGGGGGGCGGGGGCGCGCGGCGGGAACCGGTCGGATCCCGTCGCACAGGTGCGAGCGCGGCGCCCGGGTCACTCACTCGATGAAGTAGCTGGCTCCCTCCTCCGTGAAGCCCTCCTCCCAGCCGCGGGGCAGGTCTGCGGAAATGCCAAAAAAGTCGGGTCAAACTTGAGCCGCCCGGGCGCGCGCCCCCCGCGCGCTGCCGCCCACCCCGCCGGCCCGAGTCCCACCTGAACGGATCATGTGGCCGGAGTTGACTGGCTCCCCGGTGCGCGGGTGCAGCCAGGTCGTGCGGCGGAGCTCGTCACTGCGGGAGAGAGGTGCACCTGTTAGCGCCGCCGCCGCTCCGGGGGCGCCCGCCCGGTCCCGCACCCCGCCCGGCCCCGCGCCCACGCCCGCGTGCCCGCTTTCCCGCGCCGCACTTGATGAAGAAGACGCGGCCGTCCCGGCACACGCCATAGGACCAGTGCTCAGGTAAAGTGTCCCTCCCGACCGCCGCCGCCGCCATGTTCGCCGAGAGCCGAGCCGCCGCGGCCGCCGCGGGGCGGGGGAGAGGGGGCGGAGGCGGGGGAGGGGGCGGTGCGGGCGGCGGGCCGGCGGGCTCGGCCTGCGCGGGCCCCGGCGGCGGCCCGGGGCGCTTCATCGCGGCGCGAGGCAACGTCCCAGGAGTCTCGAGTCCCGGCACCGCCGCCGGAGTTCGCCGCCGCGCGGGCCGACCGGAGCGCTGTGGCCGCGGCCTTTGTCCCCGCGCCTTCCCCGCCCCCAGCCCGCCGGCCCGGGCGTGCCCGCCGCGCGCCCCTTGGCCCCTGAGGCCGGGAGACCCGGGCGGGGCCGAGGGCCGCTGTCGGGGCGCCGCGGGCAAACTCCGGAAACAAGGTGCCCCCCGAATGCTCCAGGGAACCGCACCCGACCCCCATGACAGACCTTCTGCCTCCGCGAACTGTACTTCTTTCTGAACCATGCAAACCTAAACAGGTTGCATCCATATTGCCAGCCTCGGTTTGTTCTTTCCTCTGTAAAATAAAGTGACTAGTAAGTACCACAAGGGATTGTTGTGAAGATATGAAGTTACAATGGTGTAAAGTGATGAAATGAACTCTGGCCTGGAGCAGGTGCTCCATTATTTAATGTCAGGTCAAGCATGATTTCATTTTCCCAGGTTTGCAGCTCGGATATGAAGCAGGAGGGTGCAGGTTCTCCCCTGCATACACCACGTACACCACACACAACCCTGAAGTTACCTGTAGAGTAGGCTTCTGCCTTCAATTCCTGTCAAATGACAGAAAGAGAGACGCTGTGGGCCGGCTGCATCTCAGTCTATCTTTAGAAGAGCAGACCCGCCAGACTGGGCCTCTAGTAGGGCCTCTGGAAAGTTCTTCACATAGCTGGAGCCTTCTCATGGTCAGGCCTGTGCTCGAATCTCAGCTCCAGGGGTATCCCTCCCCTGGCCCCTTTGTCCAAAGGAGACCCTTTCCCTTCTCCCTTCACCATCTATTCCATTACTTGTGTACACTTAATTGACGTTCGTATTCACGTGTATGTTTATTGTCTTGTATGTTGTGTATTAGCCACCTGAACATACACTAAAATTTCAGCGGGATGAGAGGCGGGACCTTGTTCTGTCTCGTATACTGCCATATTCTCAGTGCTTAGAGCAGTGCCTGACTCATGTACACATTCAATAAATGCTGAAAAAGTGCACAATACACACTGCACACTGAGACCCCTATATGCTGAGCATAGACAGGAGAGGAAACTGGGCTCTGGGAGATGTCAAGCCCAACCTTCCAGCGGTATAGGCTGTAATTGGTGGAAAGGCTCACAGGAGACACTAGGTAGTGTACGCACTCTTATTCAGAAAGGCATGCTAGAAAGGTGGAAATCAGTTGGGCCCAGAAGGAGTGGTCAGGGTTGACTGAGAAGAGAGCATCCCAGAGGGGGAGGATGGGAGAGCAAACACAGGCTCATGGGAAGGGTATGGGATGTTGAGACCATAAAGATGCCCTTTCTTGAGACACATAGTGGTACTGGGGAAGGAGCCTGATATGAGTTAGAAAGAGGGAGTTGGTGTGATTGTGGGGACCACTGAACACCTGTTTGAAAGGGCCTCCAGCCTTTGAGGAGGTTCTTGAGCAAATGACAATGAGAAAGTTGTGTTTTTATTCTTAAATATTCAAAATAATAAAATGGGCAAACTATGAACACAGTTCATAGAAAAGTAATACAAGTGGCTTCTAAACAAACAAAAAGGGACGCTTCGGTGGCTCAGTCGGTTAAGCGTCTTCCTTCAGCTCAGGTCATGATCCCAGGGTCCTGGGATCGAGTCCTAAACTGGGCTCCTTGCTCAGCAGGGAGCCTGCTTCTTCCTCGGACTGCCGCTCCCCCTGCTTGTTCTCTGTCTGACAAATAAATAATATCTTAAAAAAAATTAAAAGATGCTCAACCACCTCATAATAACAGATTAAAATTAAGATGAGATACTATTTTTTTAGATATCAGATTGGCAAAAATGTGCATTGTAGAGAAAGACATTCATTGTTGGTGGAACTATAAAATGGTTGTCTCTTTGAAGGCAATTTGGCAACAACTATTACAGTTTAAATGCAATACCTTTTGACCTAGCAATTCCATTACTAGAAATTTATCTTACATTAGTACTCACACAGAGACAAAAAGACTTGTGTATCAGAGTATTCACTGCAGCATTGTCAATAGTTACAAAAGACTGTATACAACCTAAATGTCTGTCAGAAAAACAGGTTTGTAAAAAAAAAACAACAGGTTTGTATGGTGATGGATATTAACTAGACTTATTGTGGTGATATTTTGCAATATATACAAATATTGAATCATTATGTTGTACACTGAAACTAATATAATGTCATGTGTCAATCATGCCTCAATTTAAATAGAAAAGAACAGGTTAATTAAATTATGTCATACTCCTACAATGGGATGGTATTCAGCTGTTAAAAAGAATAAGCTAGCAGTGGAAAAAAAATAAGCGAAATATAAATAGCCAAACTGTGGAAAGAGCCAAGATGTCCATCGCCAGATGAATGGATAAAGAAGATGTGGTATATATACACAATGGAATATTATGCAGCCATCAAAAGGAATGAGATCTTGCCATTTGCAACGACATGGATGGAACTGGAGGGTGTTATGCTGAGTGAAATAAGTCAATCAGAGAAAGACATGTATCATATGACCTCATTGATATGAGGAATTCTTAATATCAGGAAACAAACTGAGGGTTGCTGGAGTGGTGGGGGGTGGGAGGGATGGGGTGGCTGGGTGATAGACATTGGGGAGGGTATGTGCTATGGTGAGCGCTGTGAATTGTGCAAGACTGTTGAATCACAGATCTGTACTTCTGAAACAAATAATGCAATATATGTTAAGGGAAAAAAAAAAGAAGATAGCAGGAGGGGAAGAATGAAGGGGAGTAAGTCAGAGGGGGAGACGAACCATGAGAGACGATGGACTCTGAAAAACAAACTGAGGGTTCTAGAGGGGAGGGGGATGGGGGGATGGGTTAGCCTGGTGAATAGTATTAAAGAGGGCACATTCTGTGTGGAGCACTGGGTGTTATGCACAAACAATGAATCATGGAACACTACATCAAAAACTAATGATGTAATGTATGGTGATTAACATAACCATAAAAAATTATAAAAAAATAAAATAAGTGAAATATATTTCTTTACAATATAAGCTACCTGTTCTAGAATTTCATATGACATTGGCATCAATGGATCATTAGCACTTTGGTAAATTATGGACATTTTCTGTGCTAATATCTTCTGTGAAAAAGAGTTCTGTGGGCAGGGGTGGTGAGGAAGGGTGAATAGGCAGAGCACAGAGGATTTTTAAGGCAGTGAAAATACTTCGTATACTATTTTTTTTAAAGATTTATTTATTTATTTATTTATTTGAGAGAGAGAATGAGAGGGAGAGAGCACATGAGAGGGGGTAGGGTCAGAGGGAGAAGCAGACTCCCTGCTGAGCGGGGAGCCCGATGCAGGCCTCGATCCTGGGACTCCAGGATCATGACCTGAGCCGAAGGCAGTTGCTTAACCAACTGAGCCACCCAGGCGCCCCTTCATATACTATTATAATAATCGGTACATGTTATTACACATTTATCCAAACCTATGGAATGTATAGCACCAGGATTGAACCCTAAGGTAAACTGTGGACTTTCGGTGCTTATGATGTGTCAATGTAGGTTCATCCTTGTTAAATAATGTACCATTCTATAAGTGATGTTGATGATGGGGGAAGCTATGTGTTTAGAGGGCAGGGGGGCAGGGAGTATATAGGAAGTCTGTGTACCTTCCTCTCAATTTTACTTTGAACCTAAAACTGCTCTAAATAAAGTCTAAAAATTAAAATAATTTTTAAAAAAGAATGAGCTAGATGTCTATCTACTGATGTGGAATGGTCTCCAAGATATTAAGTGGAATACAAGATGCAGAACTGAGTATATGGTATACTGCTATTAATGTATAGGGAGCATCATGGCTGAATAAGATATCCCTTGTTTGTGTCCCCACCCACCCCCAACAACAATAATTTGGCATCCATCCATGGACAAAAGTGCTTTTGTGGGAGCTGTGGGATCCAGTACCATATATATGTCAAGGGACCTGGAAAGAGTCTCACCCACATGTTGCACTGGGCGATAGGCATACATACCTTGGTCCCACTGTGGACCCTGCAGTGGCCCATGAATCAACCCCAGCTCCTCTCATCCAGGAGCCCCTGGAAAGCACTGTCTTAGACAATCACTTACAGATGAGAGAGTCTTTGTAGAAGTCCAGATTTCCAGCAAAGAAGTTCCAGCACACAGCTGGAGGAAAAACACAAGTTTAGATGCATTGAAGAAGGCAGTTACTAAAAACTAGAGGAGGTGACTGTTCCTTCAAATATGGAGACAGCAATACAAAACTTCAAGGAATGTGAAACATAGATCACAGTAATCTTTCAGTAACCAATCTCAATATGGAGACCTGCAATTTACCCAATAGATAATTTTAAGGAAATTCAATGAGCTAAAGGAAAACACAGAAAGACAATCCAATAAAATCAGGAAAACAATACATCAACAAAATGAGAAGTTTAACAAAGAGATAGAAATAATAAAAAAGAACCAAAAAAAAAAAATTCTGGAGCTGAAGATACAATGAATGAAATGAAAACTGCAATTGAAACCATCATCGGGGGGTGCCTGGGTGGCGATGTTGGTTAAGCCACGGACTTTTGGTTTAGGCTCAGGTCGTGATCTCAGGGTCATGAGATGAAGAAGCCCCGTGTCTCACTCTGTGCTCTGCACGGAGTCTGCTTGGGACTCTCCCTCTCCCCTGCCCTCCCCCCCCAACTCTCTCTCTCAAATAAATAAACAAATCTTTAAAAAGAAATCAACATCAGGATGGATCAAGAAAAAAGAATCGTGAATTAGAAGATAGGAACTTTGAAATTATCCAATCAGAGGAGAACAAAGAAAAAAGAA